CAAGAGTATACTCACCAAAGGAATCTAAGGAACTCTGCTCAGGGGGGGTGCTGCCTGGAGGTGGGGTAGGAGCGGGGTCAGCACTGCACCTGCATCCACGCTGGTCGTCGGGGCTGGTATCCCAGCCCAGGGCCGGACACTGAGCTCCTCTACTTGAGCTCGTGCCATCCTCGCTGCTCGCACTGAGCTCAGCCTGCAGGGCCGTGGACCTTTATGAGCTCTTGTGAATCCAGGCCCTAGGATTTTCCTTAAAAAATTCCAGAAAATTTAAAAAAAAAAAGCCCCAACCACAACACTAAGTGTTACGGTAATTACAAGGAGGTTTTAACACATGTCTTAATTTGCATTAATTAAATCGACAGGGAAGCCTCGGTTGAGTAAATGAGGTTTTTTTCCGAAGCGGCAGCAAAAGCCGCGGCAGGCTGGAGCTGGTAACTCCAGTTCGCTGCATGGATGGGGAGGGATCTGCCGGCTGGAAGGGGCTTCCCAGGAGGGAGGGAGCCGCAGGCAGGACAAGCTGGGGGTGGGGAGGATGAGAAGAAGGCTCTCAGCTCTAAGATCCTGAGAGCTCTGAGCCAGGTCCGTGCTGACACTGTTGGATTTCAGTCCCGAGAGTGGAAGGCTTTGAAGCCGGTCGGAGAGCGGAGGTTGCTCTGCAGAGATAAGCCGTGGGTAAGAGGAATGCGTCCATTCATACCCCAGCCATGCTGCAAGCACAGCTGTGAGGGGAATATAAATGGGCAGCTCTTTTTTTATTTATTTTTAAAGCCACCGGCTCAAGTGTTAAAGGAGATCGGACACGCTGAAATGCTCGGCTGGAAGGGAGCGCTTCCCAAGGAATAACGCTATGGGGCAGGGAACCACTGAGCTGCCAACCTGCAGGCGGCTGCCCCAGGTGCCAGCCTTCCCCAAAATAATGGAGTCGGTGTTTCCTGCACAAGTTCCAGAACAGCAAATTCCTTCTGTTGGTAAAATACGTGGAATTTACGGACATGGTTCCCATTCCAACCTGACCCTCGGTGCCCTAAGGACACAGTGAGCAGGAGCTGGTGCCGTCTGGCTGCTGTGGCAGATCAATACCAGGCTAACCCTGAACTCCTGCTTTTCACCAGAAAATCTTCCAGCGTGGCACAGGCAAGCCTGGAGCAGCCCGGGCCGCCCCAAAGACCGGAGGGGTCTCCCCTCCAGTCGCTGGCCCAGGGCGGGATGCAGGGAATGACGGGATGTCTGTCCCTGCCCACCACACTCCATGGCTGCCCTGGGAAATGCTGGCTCTGGCAGAGGCATTCCAGCCTCTTTCTCTCCGACCTCTTGGGCCCGGCAAAGCAATCCAAGCAAGCCAGAACACAGGGAAAACACTTTCCTTGCGTGCTACGCTGGGGATCTGTGCCGCATCTTCTGTGCATGCTGGCCCTGGCCTCGAGGCTGGAGCTTGTGATGGGGATCTGGGGGAAAGTATTGCCTGCGAGGGAAGCTTGACTGGAGAGACAGCTCCAGGCCGGATTTTAAAGATGTGGTGGTTCAGTGAAGTAGGAACGAGCTCGGAGAGGGCTCTTGCACCACCACATCCCAGAGAGAGCAGAGAGGGACTGATGGAGCAGAGGGAAGTGGGAAAGCCCTGCCCAAGTGACCCTGGGGCTTTTTCAAACTCTCCCCTTTCTTCTGGGGGGATTTTGCTCCAGAGCCACAAAGTCAGTTGGGATCTTGGTCCCAGGTGCAGAGACCAGCCAGGTCTGGAGTGGGAGCAAAGGGATGCAGGGCCAGGGAGAAGGATACCTGCCCATTCCCCCAGCCCCACAGGGGATGAGAATAAGCGGTTTTCTGTGAACCAAAGGGTTAATGAGTGTCAGAGTCACCCTCTGAGCACAGTCGGTCCCTGCCACCCCCTTCCCCAAAAGCCTTTACATAAGAGTCTTGCAGAATTTATAGCCTGCCTCAGCTGTGCCGCGCTGGGCTGCTCCCTGGAGCTGCCAGCACGGATCCCCGGCTGTGCTAATTCGGGGAGGAAAATGGGATTTGATTTCTGCACCAGTCACTGTCTCTCACTGTTAAAACGGGACCTGACGGGCTCTGTGCACGCCCCCCCGGCTCACCCCCACGATTCATCCAGTACCTCGACCTTGAATGTCCCCCACCCACCCTCAGCATCTCAGCTCCCTGGCCTGTCACCCCCAGCCTGCTCCCAGGGCTAGAAACGGTGGTTTAGGTGTAAACCAATTACAAAATGCTATCTGGAAGCCTCAAAAGCGCCGGGGTCGTGTGGTCCCATTC